CCCCCCCCCCCCCCCCCCCCCCCCCCCCCCCCCCCCCCCCGCATGATGGATAGCCCCTTAATTATGATTTTACAAAATACAAATGTAAATGTTTCAGCAGAAAATGCCTTCATCGGAACAAAAATCAAAACATTTAAATAAGTATAAATTAAATTTATATAATATATATTTACATGTATCCTACCTAAGAAATAGAAAAGAATAAGAGTGGGTGCAAACCCAGACAAAAACAAAGTTAAGAAGAAGTGAGTGGAAGTAAAATTTAAAAACCAAACAGGAAAAAGACATGGCAGTTACGCAAAATTGTGGATTTGGTTTGTACCAACCAAATCCTCTTGTTATTAATTTATTTTCCATATAAATCCTAACCGGTGTATTACTTGTATACAGTATACCAGTAACTGAAATGTCTAAAATGCCATCGTGGTTGGTGCTATTGAAATGTATGGAAATAGGACAAAGAGCTTTTTTATTTATGTTTATTGGGGTTTTCTTTAAAACGGTCTCCGAGGCGACAACCTGTTTCTCTTACATATAATGTACCTCACTTTTTACAAAGGATGGTGTAAATCACGTTGCGACTTGTGTAGGTAAAGCCATATTTGACTCTCAATATTTCCAGAGGGAAAGTGATTTTGTCAACACTCTTATAGTTGATTGATTAAATATTGCACAATTATCGGCTAGAAGTAGAAGACTAGAAGGTTTTAATAAAAAAAAAATTTTAAAAAGGAAATCATTGGTGTAAGTTAAGTAATACTAATACTAGTGTAATTTCTGAAAATAAAGCAAAAAATTCTTAAGACAGGTGACTTTAACTCCTCAGTTTAAGCATTGATTTATGCATAGCTGCATAAAATAACGGTAATTTACCAGTTGAGTGTGGGTTATTAAAAAATCGGTTGTTCCAATTTGAAGTGCTATTTAATTAAATAGTTATTTTTTTTATTGATGAGATAAAATTCTTTTATTGATCAAAATAAATGGAAATATTTTTTATGACCTTGTACACATTCATTTCAAGATATGTAATATAAAATGTAAAAGACAAAATTTTTAAAATAGAAAAATTAAAACAATTTAATGTATATAATATAAAGAAAACAAATTTTGAGTTTAAATCATATCGATGAAAACGATAGCAGAACATGATCTCATGCATATATGAAGGGAACAGATTGCGGCAAGCCAAACTGTATTTTCAGTTTGCAATTTGCGTGCATCCACAAATGTTCAACATTCTTTTTGTGGACACCAATGTCTCTTGGACCAAAAAAATTTAGTTGATGGAGTGTTCCTAGATTCCGTGTATGATCTGGTTTATGTTTGCATAAGCTGCCTATCCATCTAATACAATATGTGAGCCTTTAAGGGGGTGTCCATTAATTAGTCAACAAAATAGGGGGGGGAGGGGGTTTGGAAATGTTTGACATTAGTTGACAAGAGGGAGGGAGGGGGTTTAGATTAGTTGACGTCAACAATCATGTTTTCTCTATTAAAATGTTAATCTTAAAATTGACTGGTTATGACATTATTTTTAAAAATTTATAAGTGTCAATGAGTGCAAAATGGTCATAAGTTTTAGGCTTTTAACAATATAAGATTTATTTAATGTGTGTCTGTCTGTACACTGCAGATGACTGGTTAGAATGTTAGCACACTTTGTTAATGCAAGAGAAGTCAAAAGTTGGCCTCTCTTCACCTGTAGATTCTGTTGCAGGTATGGAACAAGGTTCAAGTTTCATGTTCAGTCAAGATAAATTATAATATTGATAGAGTAGGAATACAATATTTTGAGAATTAGGTGAATGTAATGTGAGTAACAATAATATCGCTGCTTAAATGGATTTGCAAAATGTGTAACATCTATTTTGCATCACAAGGATGCTGGGTGGCCGAGTGTTCTAAACTGACTCACTCCAAATTGTGGTGTTCTGGAGTTCAATCCCCGCCTAAACAAAATCCCAAGCACCCCGGTTGGATGGGACTCGTTAGCCTTGGAAGGCAACTCATCTAAGAGAAGGCTAACTCTGAATTCAAACCAGGAGCCAAAATGATCGTGGGCCCTCAAAT